GCTTTTTTCTTTTCACTTATGTGGTGCTAAGGAATCGAACCCAGGGCCTCATGCATTGCAAGGCAAGTGCTCTACCACTGAGCCATCTTCCCAGCCCCCGGTGTTCTACCACTTGAGCCACAGCATCACTTACAGTTTTTTCTGTTTATATAGTGCTGAGGAATCGAACCCAGGGCCTCATGCATGCAAGGCAAGCACTCAGCCACTTTCCCAGCACTCATTGCTACTTATTATTTTCTTCATGAATTTTATGAACTAATTCTGTAACGTTTGTACTTTTTATTGTTTATGGTCACAGAAGTTTTGGTTTCATCTGCTAGTCATGAGCTAATGATTAGAAAGAACTAACTTTGTTCAAATGCCTGGAAGCAAAAACTATTTCTAGTCTTTGCAGGAGAGCTATGTATGTTTACTGGAAACATTTTGGGCATGCCAGCTACACAGTTTGCAACTGTGCCTTTGCATCATTTCTTGTTTACACAGCACTTCAAGGACAGACAGAGCAAAGCTTAGGTTTCTTCTGTAGTTTTTGAGCATTCACACACCTGCATCTCTGAGCCAGGCCCATTGCATTATTCTCTGGGTAACAGATGTTGATGGCTTTGCTAAAAATATGGTAGTTGGAAAAGAGACATCTAGGAGAGTTATTAAAATAAGGAGGTAGCATTGACTGACTGATTACTAGATGTACAAACAGGTACTTACAATATCTTCTTGAAATATTTTTGTTTTCAAATTCTAGTAGTGAATAATTTAACATTTTTCAAAAGTATATAACTATCTTTTTTTCTTTTCTTTTTTCTTTTTGGTCAGTTGTAGGGATATAACTCTGGGCCTGGGCATTGTCCCTCAGCTCTTCAGCTCAAGACGAGCGCTCTACCACTTGAACCACAGCGCCACTTCCAGTTTTCTGGTGGTTTATTGGAGATAAGAGTTTCACGGACTTTCTTGCCCAGACTGGCTTTGAACTGTGATCTTCAGATCTTAGCTTCCTGAGTAGCTAGGATTAAAGGTGTGTGCCACTGGCACCTGTCTGTCCTTCAGTTCTTTAGCTCAAGGCAACTGCTCTACCACTTGAGCCACAGCGCTGCTTACAGTTTTCTGGTGGTTACTTGGAGATAAGAGTCTCAGGGACTTTCTTGCCTGGGCTGGCTTTGAACAGCAATCTTCAGATCTCAGCCTCCCGAGTAGCTAGGATTACAGCATGAGCCACTAGTGCCTGGCTTCCCCAGCCCTTTTTGCTTTCATTATTTGTGTGTGTGTGTGTGTGTTCGTGTGTGTGTGTGTGTTCGTGCGTGCGTGCGTGCGTGTGTGGGCATGAACTTAGGGCCTGGGTACTGTCCCTGAGCTTTGTTGCTCAAGGGTAGTGCTCAATTTTTTGGTACTTAATTGGAGATGTTTCACAGACTTTCTTGCCAGAGCTAGTTTCAGATTGCAACCCTCAAATCTCAGCCTCCTGAGTAGTTAGGATTACAGGCATGTGCCACCATGCCCAGCTATTTATTCATTGAGACAGCATCTTCGAAACTTTTTTTCTGGGCTAGTCTCAAATCATGATCCTTCTTATCTCAGCCTCCCAGGTGGTTGGCTCAGAAAAATGAAGTTAAAAGACATTATTATGGAGGCTGGGAAGGTGGCTCAGTAGTAGAGTGCTTGCCTTGCATGCATGAAGCCCTGGGTTTGATTCCTTAGCACCACATAAGCAGAAAAAAAGCCGGAAGTGGTGCTGTGACTCAAGTGATAGAGCGCTAGCCTTGAGCTGAAGAGCTGAGGGACAGCACCCAGGCCTAGAGTTCAGGCCCCACAACTGACCAAAAAAACCCAAAAAACAAACATTATTATGAATATTGTTCTAATATCATAAATTTTTTTCCTAGTGGATATCTTGACATATGTTGCCTGGAAGATAAGTGGCCTACCTGTAAATTGTGTGTTTGGTAGTGGTTGTAATCTCGACTCTGCCCGTTTCCGTTACTTTATTGGAGAGAAGCTGGGGATCCACCCCACAAGCTGTCATGGTTGGATTGTTGGGGAACATGGTGATTCCAGTGGTAAGTGTAAACCTAGTAGTTCTACATAACTATGCTTCTGATCTCTAGTAGTTCATATTTTCTTTTTCTTTTTTGCAGTCTCGAGGCTTGAACTCAAGGTCTGGGTGCTGTTCCTGAGCTTTTGTGCTCAAAGCTAGTGCTCTGTGATAGAGCCATAGCTCCATTTTTAGCTTTTTGTTAGTTATTATTGATTAGAGTCTCACAGATTTTCTTGCCTTGGCTGGCTGTGAGCCATGATTCCCCAGACATCAGCCTCCTGAAGTAATTAGGATGACAGATGTGAGCCACTGGTACCTGACTCCTGGTAGTACATGTTTTCTTTAAAATCCCTTTTCTATCAATAGATTTATGTAATGGTCTATTGATATTTTTCTCTCTGTGTGTGTGTGTGTGTGTGTGTGTGTGTGTGTGTGTGTATGCTCTTCCTGGGGCTTGAACTCAGGGCCTGGGCTCTGTCCCTTAGCTTTCCCCCCCAAGGAAAGCACTCTATCTTCATGAAGGTAGAGTTAGAATGAAGCTATAGCTTCATTCTAACTTTTTGCTGGTTAATTAGATACAAAAGTCTCACAACTTTCCTGCCCAGAGTGGCTTGAGTAGCTAGGATTTTATAGACATCAGCTACTGGCCACTTCATAATTTTGTTGTTGTTGTTGTTGTTGGTTTTGGGGCTTAAACTCAGGGCCTGGGCACTGTCCCTGGGCTTTTTCCTCTCAAGGCTAGTACTCTACCACTTTGAGTCAACAGTGCCACTTCTAGTTTTCTGGTGGTTAACTAGAGATAAGAGTCTCAAGGACTTTTCTGTCCTGGCTGGTTTTGAACTGAGATCCTCATATCTCAGCCTCCTGAGTAGCTAGGATGACAGGTTTGAGCCACTGGCATATGGCTTCATAATTTCTTTTTTTTTTTTT